ATAAATATTTTATGTATTAGTTTTTTATATATATTTATCAGACTTCATTTACATTTGCTAAATTTGCATTAATTACCTGAAATTATTTTTGTATTCCTCTGTTTTTTTTTCTTCTATTTTATTAAGCACATAAAAAGTCAATTTTAATGCTAGCTTATTTTAATCAGGCTGCCATAAACAAATAAATAAATTATGTAAAATGCCAAAAACAATCTATTTTTTCAACATTAATATATCCGACACAATGCAAATGGCATTGCAATGCATGCACAAAGGAATTATTATAAACATGCTGATGACTGTGAGATGCTCTCTTAGCATTCAATATAATAGGAAATGAATATTTTATTGAATGCATCAGCCATTACTAACTATGAATATCATTAGATTGGAATATATAGAGAAAAAACTTTGATTATTACTTTAAGAATAAAAAAAAAAAATATATTAAAAAAAAAATTTTTTTTATGTTCCAATTAATGCAGCACTATAAATAAAATATTTATAAAAAAAAGGAAATTTTTTTTTTCTTTTATTTTGTTTTTTTATTATAAAAATATTCTTAAATGGAAATTTAGAATTTTTATATATATATGAATTTACTTAATTAATAAACCTTTTATATTTGGCTGTTTATTTGATATTTAATGAATGGTTAATTTCAAGGACCTTGCAACATATTATGTTTGTATTACTTCATTTATATATTTCACCATTGCATGACTTACAAAGTTTTCAAACAAATGTTTTCAACACTTTTACACGTTTAGCTGTGGAACACCCCTAAGAGTGGCACGCCCACTCTAATGGCTATGCGTCAATCCAGTCAGTCAGCCTGCCAAGGCAATTAAATTAAAATTTATAATAGAATATTGCATAAAATGTTCGCTTTCAATTAAAATAACTGAGCTTTCGTATAATAAATAATATAATAAATAAGATACATTTTCAATTATATGCTTAAAAATGATTTCAGTAAAAAGATTTTGCGAAATTATGAAGCTCTGATTTTTCAGCTGCCTGCTGCATAATCATGGCCAAAACGCACACACACATAGAGAGACATGGCTTAATCAGGCAAGACAGTTGTATGACATGCAGTTAGACAGCAGCAGCAACAGCAGCAGCTGCTGCTGCATATGATTTTGTAGCACGCGCGATTCACGTGCTTAAATGTTAATGATGTGCCATGTAGAAATCCCTAACTAAGCACACACACACACACACACACACCCTCATATATATGTATAATGCGTGTAGCTATGTTAACTAACTGCCAGCTAGGCCAAAGGCAAAGGCAAATGCAAATGCATGCGAGACGGGGGCGGTGCATGGCCTTCGAGCGTGACTATGTGACTTTTTCTCCTTCTTCTTCTTCTTCTTGCACACGCTGCGATTGCAGTGCATTCAATTTCCATTAAAATGCCAACGAATGCGCCGCAAAATATGCACCATGACGTGGCTGTAAAATAATTTGCTCAACTTAATCGCATCCATTCGCCATCAATCTCTGTCAGCTGCAGCATATCTACATGAATTTCGTTTGCTTTCTAATTCACAGCGATGCAGCGGTGCCCGCGGTGGCCGTCATACTCGATGGCAATGAGCCGCAATTTACGGATGCCCTGGGCCAGAAGGTGCCCAAGCCGCAGCCATCGCTGCAGGTGGCCAGCCCCATTGATCTGCTGAATCCCGATCGCTATGAGTTCTACACGTTCGACGAGCACGGCGAGCTGGTAAAACGCCTGATGACCATGCAGGAAATCCAAAGCATTGTGGCCAATGGCGATGGCGAAGGTCCGTCGATAATTCATGCGGCACCGCAGCAGGGCAGCGAGCCGGAGAAGAAGATGCAGGACATTGTGGACAAGGTGCAGCATGTGCTCAACAAGCAGGTGGCCAGCAGCTCGTCGAAGAATGGCTCGGTGGAGGTGTTACCCGTGCTGGATACGCCCGATGTCTCCTCGTCGTGGTCTCTCATCTTGCCCGCCATCTTTGGCAATACGGGCGGTGACATCTTCCCGCAGCAGAAGCCACAGCAAATTGTTATGACGCCCGAATCGGAGCTGGTGGAGACCTCAACACGCACCACAACCACCACAAAGCGCGTGACAAAGAAGCCGAAGCCATCGAAGCGCAAGCCAGGCACCAGACGCAAGCCCAGCACCACCACTGAGATGACACCGCAAGTGGTGCAGGAGGACCTGGATCCACTCGAGTCTGTTTACACGGGCATTCAACAGTACCAGCAGGCGGCTGCCAATATGCCCGACTTCGATGTCGCCCACATGCAGCCCATCTACCAGAAGTTGCCCAGCACCACCCGCAAGCCGGAGACAACCACACGGCGGGTTTTCTACAACAATCAGGAGATTGTGCACACGCCCACCTCGTCAGGCAGTCCGAACAGCACCACTGAAAAGGTCCAGCAGGTGGCCAAGAAACCAGCCAATGTGCATCGCAAGCCCACCCAACCACATCGTGTGAAGAAACCCAGTGGGGGTCATGGCAGCACTAGCAGCACCACTCATTCCACTGGTGGCAAGCAAAAGATAAAGAAGAAGACAACCACACCAGCGCCCAGCACCGCCGCTCCCACCACCGCCGTACCCACCACTGCACCCACCACTGCACCCACCACCGCAACCACCAGTGCACCAGATCCTGAAAGACCAGCATCAGCAGTAGCAACAACCACTCAACCACCAGTGTCCACCACGCAAAAGAAGAAAAAGCGCAAGCCCACCCGCACACCAGGACATTCCAGCACCACCAGCAGCGGCGCTAAGCCAAACAAGCCCAAGCGTAAGCCAACCACTAAGCCCAAACCACACCAACCAGCCACTGCACAGGCAACTGCCACATCAGCACCACATCACCAAGAGGTCAGCACACATAAGCCAGCGCGTCCACATCGGCCACACAAGAAACCCAAGCCCAGCAGCCCCACCACAGAGACGCCACCAACGGCCTCATCCGGAGCTCCTGATCCAGAACTAACATCCGGATTGTTGGTGAGCACAACGCATCGGGATGCTATAGATCCTGTGCCAACCACAGCGGCTACAACCACCAGCACCACACCAACCACCACAACGGCAGCATCCCCAAGCACCACCAGAAGACCCGCTTTGCATCATCAAAAGATACATGGCAAGCCCGCACATGCGAGCACCACAACCACCACTACCACGACCACCACCACCACCACCACTAAACCACCAGCTACGGAACATCATCAGAAAATCCATATGAAACCTGTGCACAATGCGCCAGTCGCAGCCATACCTAGCACAACAACAACAACAGCAGCGCCCACTACCAGCACCACCCATGCGCCTGTCTATCCCGTGCCCAGCTACGATGCCGAAGCCACCGAAAACTTGCCCACAATCGTTGCCCAGGAGGAGGACAAGACGCAGCTGAAGAAGACGCCTTTGCCATTGCCCTCGCTCGCCCTGCTGCAACAGCAGCTGCAACAGAGTGCCACACCATCGCCCGCACCACAATTGTCGCCGGATCAGATACTATCCATGGACCAAATCGTGCAGAGCTTGACGCAGGATCTGCTAGAAGGCGATAAAAAGGATGCCAACGCACCACCGGTCAAATACGACAGCGCAGATAGCAAGGAGCAAATGGAAACTTTGGCTAACAAAAAGAAAATTCCCGTTAGCAGCACCACAACAACAACAACAACGACAACCAGCACCACCAGCAAGCCAACAACAACAACCACCACGACCACAACCACCACAGCTAAGCCGATAATACCATCATCCAATCCACTGGCAGCCAACTATGGCGGCAGCACCTTGGCCACCATGTTGGATGAGGAGGACACCAGCACCACTGAGGACCTAAACGATTCCACCGAAACCACCGGCAATAAGCAAACCACACTGAGCAGCATGGAAGGTGAACAGACGCCGATTGTGCTCATAACCGCTAGACCACAATACTTCACCACCAATCAGGCCGCACCACAGTTGCAGCCACTGACCACGGTGCAGTCAGACCCCACGCAGCAGGAGCCAGAGACCACCGAGTTGCCCAGCTACACACAGTTCTTGCAAACCACGCCCATGGCAGCGGATGAAGAGCTCGAGGCAGAGGCAACCACAATTCGGCCATTTGAAGAAGTCAACCATGTGGTTAAGTTCGAGCCACTCTATGCCGATGTGCCCGAGGCTGTGGTCACGGAATTGACGGAGCAACCCACAACGAACGGTTACTATGAACAGTTCGATGATGAGGCAACCACTGAGGCAGCTCCACGTCTACCGGTCACTGAGCGTGTCACCAGCACCACCAATGCTGAGGAAGACAGCACCGAGGTGACGCCCATGATAGCCAATCTGGTGGATCAGCTGAATCTGCAGGTGCTGCAGCCAACCGATCAGATTCTGATGTCCAATTTCCAGACCCAAGCCGCCACAGTGGCATCCACCCTGGTGGATGGCAGCAATACGCTTGTCGCCGATGTCTACATGAACTCGAATGAGACCAAGGATGAGCTGCAGTTCCTCATGTCCGATGTCATACAGCAGATCACTCAGCCCGAGAGCTACAAGCCAGTCAATGATGATGATGATGATAATTCGCATCGTCTGACCAGCTTTGCACAGTTGAATACGTCTTTCCTCTTGCCGCCCAAGCTAGAGACGAGACCAAAACCGAAACCGAATCCAGTGGTGGAGCAAAAGATAACAAGCGCAACGGAAGAGCAGATGCAGGAAATCACAACCATAATGCCAAGCAGAAGCGAGGAGGAAAAGGAGGAGGAGCTCATCAAACAGGAAGCTGATTACATCAATACGCCCGCACCTGAACCAGAGCAGCTGGAGAGCAGCACCTACAGAGTGCCGGTGTTGTCCTTGTCGCAAATTTATGCACAGCAGCAGCAGGACGAAGATGATGAGCAGCAAATATTTGAGCTGGAGCGACTGGAGCAGCTGAAGCCAAGCCAAGCTGCTGACAAACAGGAAGCCAATGAGCAGGCGACAAAGCTGGAAGAGCAGAAGAAGGAAGAAATGTTGAAGGAGGAGCAGCGGTTGAAGGAGGAACAACAGTTGAAGGAGGAACAACTGAAGGAGGAACAGCGGTTGAAGGAGGAACAACTGAAAGAGGAACAGCGGTTGAAGGAGGAACAACAGTTGAAGGAGGAACAGCGGTTGAAGGAGGAACAGCGGTTGAAGGAGGAACAGAGGTTGAAGGAGGAACAACTGAAGGAGGAACAGAGATTGAAGGAGGAACAGCGGTTGAAGGAGGAACAACTGAAAGAGGAACAGCGGTTGAAGGAGGAGCAGCAGTTGAAGGAGGAACAGCGGTTGAAGGAGGAACAGCGGTTGAAGGAGGAACAACTGAAGGAGGAACAATTAAAGCAAGAGCAACTGAAGCTAGAACAGTTGAAGCAACAGCAGGAGCAGGAGCAGCAGTCACAGTACCAGCAGCAGCTAGCAACAACANCTCATCAAACAGGAAGCTGATTACATCAATACGCCCGCACCTGAACCAGAGCAGCTGGAGAGCAGCACCTACAGAGTGCCGGTGTTGTCCTTGTCGCAAATTTATGCACAGCAGCAGCAGGACGAAGATGATGAGCAGCAAATATTTGAGCTGGAGCGACTGGAGCAGCTGAAGCCAAGCCAAGCTGCTGACAAACAGGAAGCCAATGAGCAGGCGACAAAGCTGGAAGAGCAGAAGAAGGAAGAAATGTTGAAGGAGGAGCAGCGGTTGAAGGAGGAACAACAGTTGAAGGAGGAACAACTGAAGGAGGAACAGCGGTTGAAGGAGGAACAACTGAAAGAGGAACAGCGGTTGAAGGAGGAGCAGCAGTTGAAGGAGGAACAGCGGTTGAAGGAGGAACAGCGGTTGAAGGAGGAACAACTGAAGGAGGAACAATTAAAGCAAGAGCAACTGAAGCTAGAACAGTTGAAGCAACAGCAGGAGCAGGAGCAGCAGTCACAGTACCAGCAGCAGCTAGCAACAACAATAGCGCCAGCTGATAGCTACGAAGCGACAACCATCGAGCAAGTGCAGTCGGAGGAGAGCAAGGAGACCAACTCAGTTGAAGAGACGACAACAGCCAGCAGCATCAGCAGCATCAGCAGCAGCAGCAGCGTGGAGCAGTATCTGCACGACGAGAAGCCAGATGCGCCGCAACGCGAGAGCGAGGAAAACCAGATGCCCGAGATGTTGACAAATGGTTACAACCAGCAAGTCCAAACGGAAGCCAACATTGAGCAAATGGCGGCAACCACAATGCAGGTGCCAGCAGCCGAGCAGGAGCAGGAGGAGGTGCAGAAGCTGGCAGCAACGGTGGCTGGGTCAACAAATGTTTACCAGGACGCACAAGCGCAAGAACAAACATCAAGCGAAAAGGAAACTGAAAAAAGCGAAGAGGATGCCAAAACAGAAGAGGAGCTGGACGAGCAGCAGCAAGAGGACGAGGAGCAGCTGAAGCAAAGTGTTGAGGATAGCGTCACTAATGCGGCACAGCTGCAGCCACAGTATACGGCCCAGGCATCTGAAGAGCAACACTATCAAGATAACGAGCAGGAGCAGGAGCAGACAACGGCCAGCGTTGAGYTGGTCACGGAAATACCGGGTGATATGTCCGTTGTTTCATCTGAATCGGATATGTCGCTCAGCTCGGAGCAGGTCACCGAAAAACTAGAGCTAAGCACTGTGCGCACCATGGAGCTGAACGAGGAGGCACTGGAGGACATATCCGATGAGCTGACAGCAACTTTGACCGAAGAGGATACCACGAGTGCACAAAAATATCAACTGGACGATGAGGATCCCTATGTCAAGCTGGGCGAGACGACGGCCAGCGTGGTGAAGCCACAGCAGTCGGAGGAAAAGCAACCAGAGCAGGAGCAGTCTACAGAGAAGGCAGAGCCACAGCAAAGCTACCAGACGACATTGGCTTTGTCCCAGGAAAAGGAAAAGGAAACGGAGCAGGAACAGGAAGAGGAACAGAACTCCGAGCAGGAGCAGAACTACAAAGTCACCTTGCCTCTAGCTAGCTATGGAAATCAGCAAGCTGATGAGGAGGACGAAGAAGATCAAAACGATTATCAGCTGCCCATACTCCTGCCAAGCAGCAGCAGCAGCAGCAGCAGCAGCAGTTCGACAACAACCACCACAAGCACCACAACGACAACCACACGAGCGCCCACAACGACAACCACCAAGCGACTGCACACACTGAAGCCCGTTTCGTATTATGTGCAGCCGTCGCTGCTCGGTGGCTACAATCAAGTGGAACCACAGCCGCCGAAACTGCTCGCCTACAATGCCAACAGCAACAGCCTGGCGCAGCAGCAACAGTTGCTGCCATCATCGCAGCAGCGACCCATGCATCGACCCGCCTCGTTGACAAATTTAATGGCTGCATCCACGCAGGCAACGCGTCCGCCAGTTAAGCTCGAGCCGAGTCCGCAGAGCTCCCAGGGCTTGGAGGCCTCCACTTCCCGTCTCGATGAGGACGTCTTGTCCTTTGCACGGCTTTGCAATGAGCTCGCGTTTAGCTACTGGAAGTCCATCACCTCGGAAAAGATAAGCTCAGCCAGAAGTCTGGTCATCTCGCCGTTTGCGCTGACTTCAATGTTATCCATGGTGTTCCTGGGCGCGCGCGGCAGCACCTCGGGCGAAATGAACGAGATACTGAAACTCGACGATATGGTCACCTTTAATCCGCATTTGATTTTCCGTAACATCACCCAGTCGGTGGAGAGGTCCATGGAGCAAGACATTGCAACTGCGGCGTTTGTGCGCGAAATCTTCAGCGATCGTGCGAATGGAAAAATCCTGCCCTTCTTCAAGGAGAAGACACAGCAGCTGTACGGCGGACATGTGGAAGAGGTCAACTTCCATGTGGTCAACGATATTGTAAGGCGTCGCACGAATCTGCTGGTGAAACGTCACACCATGGGCAAGGTTTTGGAGTACTTGCGCACGAACAGTGTTTGGGTAAATGGCCCGTTGGCCACAGTTTCAGCCAATCTCTTCCAGACAGACTGCTCCAAGGCATCGACAACGGATCGAGACGGTGAGATGTTCTTCCAGGTGCATCCGACGGTGCGTCAACGCCGACTGGTGCCCATACCCGCCGTGCTCTACCGCTCCGGCTTTACGGCTGGCTACGAACCCAAGCTGGATGCCACTGTCGTTGCCTTCGGACGCATTCAGGATACGGTGAGCACGATCTACGTGATGCCGGGTCATCAGAGCTCGGTGGCGCCCACGCATAATTTGGATCGCCTGGAGCGCAATCTGGTGGAGCTGGCCTTTGGTCAGGATAATGCGTGGAGCAGCCTGATGACTTCGCTAATGGATCGGCCCGGCATGGAGGTGCAACTGCCACGTTTCTCGCATCGCTCGTTTGTCAATGCCTCGCTGGGACTGCAGAAGATGGGCCTGAAGGGACTCTTCAAATCGGACTTTGCTGACTTGCGCGGCCTGACCGGAAACGGTAATCGCGACATCTTCCTCTCCGACATGATACAGATCAATACGTTCAGCACTTGCGGCGAGGAGAAGATCTCCGATCATCATCACGTAGAAATGTACCCAGCACCGCCTCTACGCAAACGCAACAAGGACGTGGATGCTACAGACGACGATGCCTACGATTCGTCTGAGGCGATCGTAGACTTTGGTTCATTGGTGCAGGAATCGGCATTGGGTCGTGGCTTCTACGATGACTTACTGGATCCCAAGTACTTGGAGCTGCCTCTACCGCTGCGTCCGCGTCAGGCGCGCGTGCCCGATGCGCCCAGACTGCGCTTCGACAAGCCCTTCCTCTACTTTGTGCGCCACAATCCAACGGGAATGATACTCTTCATGGGTCGCTTCAATCCACGTCTGCTGCCATGAACAAATCAAATATATAACAAATTCCCCCCTCCCCCCAGCCAGCCTTAAGTAAGCCAAAATACAGATAATACAAAAACAAATTAAAACGTTGAAGCCCCTCTCCTCCACCTTGAATAGAGGCGTCAAAGCAAATTTAATAGTAAATTCAATTTGCATTCAATTAAGCTAATTTTATGATTAATGCGAATTGCTGTGCCTTAATCCCGCGTCCGGCCCCAACTCAAACGATACGAGATTGACGTGCAGCAAAATAATACTTAAAAAAAAAAAGAAGAAAAATACTTAAAAAATACTTGCAGAAAATATGCCGAAAAAAAGATTTACTTTGCTATTCAAATATATATTTAAATATATATTCATATTTTATTTTTTATATAAATATTTGCAAATCATTTTTAATTTCTGTTTTCTTTTTTTGTGCTCTTTGGCTTGCATTTATCTTATTTGCATTATTATATTTTCTACGTGCCGCAAACAAAAACAACAACAACAACAAAATAAAGTTAAGCAAATTGGCTACAAAATGCGAATGCAAATGCAATCATATTTTGGCAACAAAACAAAATAAAACAAAACGAAACGCAACACAAAATGTAATTTTAGTAAAAATAAACTTAAACAATACGCAAAACTAAAAGTTATGTATGCTATTCTGTAAGCTTAATAAAAAACATACTAAATAAATATATATATATAAATAAATGAATAAATAAAATATACAAAATATAAAATAATTGTATTTGCTAGTATTTCGAATTGATTCAACAGCTTCGTAGCTGTTGAAGCTGCCCAGCTGCTTGTGGTTTAAGTCCAGAGCTTGTAACCTAGACCGGAAGTGTGTTTGCTTCACAGTTTTTGCTGTACTATCTTTTATTTTAATTTTCATTGCCTGACAGTGTTGTGCAATGTTGTCCAATAAAACATGTGACGGAGCAACAGATACACACATACGCAGAGACCGAAGTAAAGGCATAATCAAATAACAAAGACGAAGCATATACATCTATGCTCTTGCGATAGATGATAGATGAAAAAGCTTAGTGGATATAAAGCAATATTTATTAAAAAGTGGCCAGTGTTAGAAAATTTCTATAGTGACATGAAAGGAGATGTAACTAAAGGCAGTCTAAATCCATCCAAATTGTTTATATTCATAGAAGTCTTTGCGATCGAGGAAAAAAACGAAAGCATAGATAAAAACGTTAAAGAAAATGTTACCCATTCCAGTGTTGTAAAAAGAAGGAAACCGCACACACACAAAGGATCATTTAGGAAATGGAAGAAACTAATTCATATATGCGTTAACATATAATCGTGCTACTCCAAAACTTCATATGTATGAAGTCGCCTTAAAAGCAACAAGTATTATATAGCTACAATTTCAATCCTCTCAAGGAATAAAAGAATGGAATTTGAACATTTCAGTATACTATAGTGAGAACAAAATATCATTAAAATGCATTCGTATTAAAATTACCAGTGTTGAGCAACATATATATTATATTGAAGGAAAGGCGCAGCATAAATATTGCAGATATTTTCTACAGCTGGAACTATAGAAGAGTAAGTAAAAAATCTCAGTTATTTAGCTACAGAAAAAGCTAAGGCTATATATATAAATATAAGGCCATATGTATAAATATATTTATATGAACAAGTTGAGGTTTTAAACTGTTCTAGATATTGAGATATCTGAGTTGACTTAGACCACTTAGACCAATGCAAGCTATGTTTAGGGCATAACTTAGTAATCTTAAGAATTTTCTTTAGGTAAAGAAAGTATTCAAGACTTAAAACTACCAGTGTTGTGTAATGTAACTATTTTGAATTATTTTCTAACCTAGTGTGAGCTAACTACTCAAAATACTACTAAATCATATTATCCATAGTCTGTGCCCCATTTCATTTATATTTCTCATTAGGTAAAACGCCATAAGAAATACCCATGGCAATAACTATCTTCAACAATGTTCTAGTTTGGCTTTTTTACACCGAATAGAGTACATGTGCTACTACGTACACAATTTACAGCTGTGCAAAAACAGATATATTGTAAAAACAACAAATGCAGATATTTTAATTAATATTTAACAAGAATATATATAAACGATGCTTATAATGAAATCTGTATGGCTTGGTGTGTGTGTATGAGGGAGAGAGAGAGAGAGAGAGAGAGAGTGAGTGTATATGTGTATGTGTTTATGGGCGTTTGTTGGTGGGCGTGTGTGGGCATAAACTGACTGCCTGCAACTTTGTCAAACTTTTGGATACACGACTTGCTTGTTGTTGTTGTTAATAATGTTGTTGTTGCTGTTGCTGTTGTTGCTGTTGTTGTTGCTGTTGTTGCTGTTGTTGCTGTTGTATTGCGGTTGCGTTGGCAACTTCCAACGTCGACAACTGTTCACTTGCATGTCGTTGTCGTAGTCGTTGCTGTTTTTTGAGCTTTATGCGGTTTTTGCAGCCAGCATATATGTGTGTGTGTGTGTTTGTGTGTGTGGGTGGTCATGTGCTTTTGTGAAATCACAAACAAGTAGCATACTTTTGGGCCAAAACAATTGCCAGGCAGCCAACTGTAGCCAACTTGAATGCAACAACAACAAAATACGCAACAAAAACGCGCGCACTAGAAAAAAGCAATTCGACTCACAACTAACGACTGCGGACTGCCGCAAACTGGCTGTGCGTGTGTGTGTGTGTGTGTAACGCACAACACACTCACGCTTCCACACACCCACACCTACAGTCACACATACACAGCCACATGTGATGTCAATGCGCAGCAATTGAGTCTGCCTAGGCAAGCAGAGCAAGAGCAACAGAAATGGAGCTGGATTTCGAAATCTGCACACATGCTTGGTGCTTTTACATAATGATACCCTGTAAGCAAGGCAATAGGGTAGAGTAGTGAGATATAGATATATATAATAAGTTTGTCAATGTAGACCTAATGAGCGAACAAATAATGTTAATAATAAATATATTAAACTAAATTTAGTCAATGAAACAAGACTGGGGAGCTATTCATAAGAATACCCTGTAAAAAAGTCAAGCAGGTATAGCATACTTCTGACTAACGTTTTGGGTCAGAGGGCTAATGAGAGGACTTCTAAGGGCAGCTATACATATTGATACTGAAAGAGAGCGAGAAAGAGAAAAAGAAAGAGAGAGAGATAAAGGAAGAGTGAGTGAAAGAGAGATAGAGGGGAGAGAGAGATGAAGAGTGATTAAGAAAGAAAGAGAGATGGAGAGATATATGGAGAGGTAGAGATAGAAGCAGAGAGAGATATGGAGAGATAGGGAGAGAGAGATAGAGATATAAGGATAGAAAGAGAGTATTGAAAGTCTATAAATATATTTAACAGGGTATGTAGGAGGTAATCTTGCAAGTAAAAGTTAAAATTTATAGGTTAAGAGTGCAAACACATCTGATTAGCATAATCATAAGCCCCAGGAGTTTTTTTTTTCCAGCTTTATCTGTCTGGAAAGTTATCCAATTGTATACCCTATAAAAAGATAAGAAAGGCTGTGCAAAGCCATAAATAGTTGAAGTTGAAAAAGCTTATATATATATTTGTGGAGCATATGGAAGGACTTGAAAGATTGAAGAGCTACCTATAGGGTATCAACTGAACTAAAAAAACAGAAACTGCTTCAAAATTGCTCGCTGACTTAGCCTACAAATATTATATATATTTA